AAAAATCTTAAAAAAAAAAAATATATATATATATATATATATATATATATATATATGTGCTCCATGAGAATAAGATTTATAATCTGTATTTGTATTACCAACATTTAGGGATTACGCTTCTCCAAATAATCCTTACAGTCATTTATGTGCCTCAAAAAGACTGTGGATCCTACACTGAAAGATTCATTTTGAAAGGGCAGCAAGAAAACACTAGAACAGGCCAAAAGAGTGAATAGAAACTCTATATCTTTCTCTCACTTGGCAAGACCAAAATGGTATGACCTAATGGCTAATGACATTTCAAGAAATGTAAATGGCTCTTTATTATATCTGTCAATATCAGTTTTGTTGCAAAGGGGATAACTAACCACTCTGTGTGTATGATGGTCGTAGAGACTGGCGACCTCTACCAGACTGTGGTGAGCCACTTCTTCCTGGAGGGTCTGATGTACACAGCTGTATATCCTAGCCTCTTTTTCCTCCTCTTCCTCTTTATCTATAGCACCACCTTGACGGGGAATATTCTCATTCTCACAACTGTGGGCTCTGACCCTCACCTCTGCTCTCCTCTGTACCACTTCTTAGGGCATCTCTTCTTCCTGAATGCATGTTTGTCTACAGTGACATTGCCTAAGGGCATGGCAGTCCTCCTGACGCTGGATGGCAAGGTGCTCTCCTTTGAGGGCTGTGCTGTACAGCTTTACTGCTTCCACTTCCTGGCCAACACCGAGTGCTTCCTGTACACCGTCACGGCCTATGACCACTACCTAGCTATTTGTCAATCCCTACACTACCCAGTTGCCATGAACAGACATATGTGTGCAAGGCTGGCTGGAATCACTTGGGTCATAGGTGCTGTGCACTCTGCAATCCATACCTCCCTCACCTTCCGCTTGCTCTACTGTGGTCCTTACCATATTGCCTACTTTTTTATGACATACCCACTGTGCGGAAACTGGCCTGTGCAGACACCACCATTAATGAGTTTGTCATGCTTGCCAACATGGGTATTGTGGCAGCAGGTTCCTGATCCTCATCGTCATATCCTATGTCTTCATCATGGCTGCGGTATTGCGGATCTGCACAGCCCAGGGCCCACAGCATGCCTTCTCCACTTGCACCTCCCACCTCACAGTGGTGTTCCTGGTACTGTATACCACCTGTCTGTATCTACCTGTAGCCTCTCTCCAGTTGGGCAGGAGCCAGGACCCCTGCTGTCTTCTATACAGTAGTCACTCCTATACTCAACCTTTTCATTTACACTCTGCAGAACAAGGCGGTAAAGCAGGCTCTGCGAAGACTTCTGGGCCAAAGTTCCGGAGAGTCTCCAGTAGGAAGCCCACCCCCCTAACCTGTGTTGTGACTCTCTTAATTTTCCTGTCAGGAAAGTAACTATCAAAATGGGGAAAGAAAATCATTCAAGTGGAAATCAGTGTAACAGAGTTTCAGTTCAGACATGAACTTTTTCCCTTTCCTTTAGACAAGTGACCTGTCTGAATGTCTCAGCCACAAACTCTTCATCTATAAAATGAAAAGGCTGGATTAGGCGATGTCTACAGTATTTCCAAGATCTCTGGAAGGAGGAATGTTCTGTGGCTCAGAGGTTTGTGAAATGCTCTTCACATGCTCATTTTATGAAATGAACTTTTTTACTTTGCATGAAGTAATTTTCTTAAATATATAATATATATTAAAGAATACTGATAACAAAAACATAATGTCCAAATAATAAGTGAAACTTTGCATATGTGTCACCTAGCTTAAGAGAACAAACCACATTTTTAGGATGATAAAATGCAACTACAAGGAGAAAAGTGACTTGCCCAAGGTCACTTAGAAAGTGTCATTATCTTTGAATACAGATACCCATGCAAGATGGTGTTTAACTAAGTGGTAGAAATGTCATAGGTTTTTGAAGTCGGTTGCACCTACCAGTTTCTGATCCTGATCCCACCAGTCACTACATATATAATCATATGCAAATCTTGAAATACTTGGTGTTTTGATGTCCTCTTTTAGTAGTAAGGTTAAAAATAACTACTTTGTAGGATTTTATGAAGACTAAATGATATAATTATGTTAAGTGCCTGGTGCCAAATAGATGTTCTGTTTTCTACAAGGCAGGTTAAAGAAGTCAAAGAAAGCTTATTATATGAGCTAAGGTTCAAACTGTCTCTGAAGAACTGGTAGGGTTTTGTTATCATCACTGAACATGGAGAAAGCAGCTGAGAGACAGAGA